CTGGTTGTACACAGTAGCCTTGACACAAACGTGTGAATCTGTAAGGTTTACCCTTATATTCAAATGTGAACAAAATGGACTGTCTTTGTGTACAGGAACACTGAAAAATGCATTTGAGAGATCTTATTACAGTAAAAAAATGCTGCAGAGGCTGGAACTTGGGAAAGAATCAGATAAGGATTTGGGACGAGCGGTGTATGCCCAGCTGCATTTACTGTAAATCCTGGACAAATCTCCACTCGTCAGGAGGTTTTGTCTCTGATCTTTTTGACAGGAAACACTGGAGTGCGTACCGGAATCGTTACACGGAATAATGACCCCTTGTTTAAGCAGAGAGGTAAACACTGGCCGAATGCCATCAACAACTTCACGTTTCAATGGGTACGGGGGTTGATTTGAACGGAACGTGGACATTAAACATACGTCATATCTGTGAGCTGCCCAGAGTGAGTATGGCACATCTGAAAGCGCGGCAGGAAGCTCAGAGATATGAGAATTACCTCATCATCCTCAACCAACAGCAATGTGCGCAGAACGGCTACGTTTGTGCACATTTTCATCTTATACATGTCACCTGACATATAGTACATAACATATTCTGTGTGTGTAGGTGTCCAATCAGTGACTGACTCCAAATCTTTAACGATTGGACCCAAATCCCTCTATCTCTCAGTGGGGCCCCTGGCTAGTGAAATGTGTGGACCGCCCCTGGGATTTGACACAGTTTGTGTTTGGAACCAGCTGCGCAGCAAACTCCTCCAAGTATAGTTTTAAGCATGAGCTCCTCATTCACACCTGAAAAACTCTCATCATTTACACGGATCATCAACAATGTTAGTACAAGTAAAAAGAAGCTTCCATGAACACCGCAGGTGGAAAAACACGTTGATCAGTCCAACGCAACAACGCCTGAGAATCAGGATATGTCAGCAGCCATTTAATACACATTCACACAGTTCTTTATCATCAAATGCCAGTTTTTGAACCATCGTAGGAGATGGCTGCCGGACTTTAAAACCCTCATTTGTTGAAAAATTAGGTCTAAGCCGAACCGGAGAATCAGATCTCTGCCCAGTAAATTTATTAGGCAGACGGAGGATAAAATAAACTGTTTTTTTACTGATGTGGGAAATGGATTGACTATCATCACCGTTATCTCCACTCTGAAGTGATACAAAAACTTCTCCTTTACAGTCACCCCAGCCGCTCCTATTGAGTGCATAAATCTAGCACTAAATTTGCCATCAGGCAAATCTGCCCTTTTTACTATAGAATGTGTAGTCCCAGAATCAACCAAAAAAAATGGAACATCAACACCCATGACAGCCAAAGTCAGTGTGGGACATTTCTCAAATGCTGTTTCACTGTCATATTTCAAATATGTAGCCTCTTTAACCACAGGCATGTCTTCTACATTTTCCCATTTTCAATAGCATGATGTGTGTGTGTGTCACTTCCCTGGTTAGATGCTGCTGGCTGAATTTCCGTCTCGCTCGATCGGGTCCCTTCCTCCCCATCTGGTGTAGGTCAGTCTGATTGTGAATTACGTCCTTGCTGTCCCCCTCTGCCTCCACTCGCCAGTGTTCTGTGAGCAGTGCCATAATCCAATGTTCAACACTGCCACACTTGAAACATCTTTCGTCAAATGAAGGTCTTGCTTCTCGTCTTCTGCCTCGGAAAACCTCTTCTGCCTCTCCCTCGGTATTGTGACCGGCCAGCATTCTGCGTAGCTTGCGCTGTGTCTGTGAGTCCGTTGAGAAAGGCATCACTGAGGTGTGTTGCCCAAACACCTGCTTGGGCTTGGGTTTGTTTTATCCCGCTGTTGTCCCCATCTACTTGGGGCTGATGGGGTGGACGAGCTTACGGGGAGTCTGTTGACTGCATGGCTGGGACTTGTAGTGGTGGTGGAGGTGGTTGAGGTGGGCCAGCCGGATTGCCAGGGTTGTACCCCGGGGGAGGGAAAGGATACCCAGTTGAGGAGAGGTCATTCAGGCCTGCAATGGAAGGATACAGAGATGTCTGGGGTTTACATGGTTTTGGAAATAATTTATTTTCCTTCTTTTCTTCACATTCATCTTCAACCTTAATATTTTCTTTAATGCCCAAGGCCAACTGCCTTCTTTCACGGCATTCTGCTTAATGCTCCCAGTATTTATAAACACTTTCTGTGAGTACACTTTCTCTGAGTGTCCAGTTTTCTATATAAGTATTTTACTTTATTTGATTTTTTACCCTTTATTTCATCTTGATGTTCTTGTAATTTATTCTTTAGGTTCTTGATTTTTAATTTACTCAAAAAAAACCTCCCTTTGGAAATCCGAACATTTCCGTCCATATATCTAATTTAGACAGACTGTTTTCACCATTTCTGCTCGCATGACATCTACAATCGAACCCTCAGGAGAGTGTACAAGCCCCCCATCTGCTTTGCTCCTATGACAAAGTCTTCAAATGTTACCAAACCACCCCTGACAAAACAAGGGGTGTTTAAACACTATTTGTTCATCCGTCGATGATGTGATATTAGTTTCTCAGTACAAATCACGCAAAAACTGATCGTAAACCAGGCTATTTTTTCATCCGTCGATGATGTGATATTAGTTTCTCAGTACAAATCACACAAACACTGATCCAAACCCAGGCCAAACCCAGGCTATTTTATCATCCGTCGATGATGTGATATTAGTTTCTCAGTACAAATCACGCAAAAACTGATCCAAACCCAGGCTACGATATATCGGATATCCTCAAATATCCCTTCGAGCAGTTCCCTCTCATAAATGTCATGGAGTTTACTTACGTTTAACTTTAAACAATTTAGACACTGCACATCTCACCGAGTATTGAAAGCCTTTGAGTTCGTTGGATCTCGTGAAGTCAATCGGTTCCACCCCCGGCGCTGGTCCTCTCGTCCCATACGGTTTCTGTCGGGGTAGAGTAAGATCCGCGGATCCTGGAGCCGGCCACCACCAGCGTCCGGAGGTGTTCCCAATCGAACTTGCAGAGACCCTGCTCGCAGCGCCAATTGTTATGGAAATCCAAAAACCCCAATACTGTAGAGTACAAGTCAGAGTGATTAAAACAAATAAATGGTGAAAACAGACAGAGTTGTCTTTCTGGTGATGTTTATTCGAGGCCTCAAACAAACATTAGATACAATAAAATATAGACACAGGTCTCACAGAGTATAAAATATGTCTGCGCGAGTGTGCGCAGTTCAATAGAGTAAAAAAACGTATATACAAGAAGGGGGAGGAAGGTAAGAAATCTGTCTTCACACGGTCACATTGTTATTAGACACCTGGCCTTGAGCTGTAGAAGTTCTCGTGTGACTTTGTGTGAGTCTCAACCCAGTAGCCAAAACAGCTCTGTGGCCTTGAAGTAGAGTAGATAGAGGCAAACAGCACATCTAACCAAATGAGAAGCATTTGGTTTAAAACATATCGGGATATAATAAAAATGTCCACTACAGTCCACTTTGAGAAAGATGAACTGATTAGATTTTGATGGTCAAAGAAGAAACTCAGTAATTCACAAACATGTAACTAATTATCATAAATGTCTGAAAGGAACATGTTGCAGAGTTTTAATTCCCTCAAGAGAAAATGATAAATGATTCATAAACAAGTTTTTATTTAGTTTTATTTAATAAAGTAATAAATAAAGTCAAAGTCAATTTGAAATCCATCTCAAATTGTAGGAACAAAGTAACTGTGTTACTCAGAGGATAAAGAGGTTCTGCACCATGAACACAGCTAACAGTCCCACCATATAGAAGAAATAAAGCAGTCTACTAATCCTACCCATACATTATTTTAGAAATGATCTAAATATTCCCAACATTAAACCATATAACCCTCCAGTCCTTATTCATTTGAAAATCCACCTTTTACCACACCTTGTGCCACACATTTAAGACAAAAATACCATTTAACAGAATAAAAAGTACAAGACACAATATATGATTATAAATGATTATATGATAATGTGGCACGACAGATAACATCACAAACGTATTGTACACCACAACTTGACTGATTAGTGGAGTCCCAATACTCCTGGATGGACCGATGTGATTGCTGGTTCTTGTATAGGAGGGTACCTGATGCAGATTCCTTTAGTGCACAATGGGCATTAGAGACACATTCCCTTCATCACTGCCTCACACCTTTCTGCACTCATCCCAACTCATCAATCTCTGCCATGGGGAGCTGTTGTTCAGTTCTTCTTCCTCCTCATCACTTGGAACAGCAGCACAAACTCGCCCCTATTGATCACAAGCACTCAGCGCCCAGTGTGCAGTTCTGATTGATGTTTACGGCGCTTCCTACTCCGTTTCTCACACCCACTCAATGCAAACATATAATTCAGCTCTCAACTCTTGCTGGATTATCAGCAGTTGTTGCTGTGCAGGAAGTTTCTATTGGATTCCAGAATTTTGCAGAAAATAAGATCTGTGACAAAGGCACTTCTATGATACTTATAAGCCTTGTTCAACAGGATGATCTCCAAATATTAACACTTATTTTATGATTTTATGACAAACTCATGTTGTCACGGTGGATTCGCTAACCACCGCTAGGCTAAAAGCGGACTTGTAGTAGACCTTTTTATGAAGCAAAGAAACGTATATAATATTTACCAGTGGGGTATTCACTGATGTATTTTATGTCGTAGAACAAAATGTGGCAATCTCTGCAGCTGGGGTTAACCACAGATCTTCTTTTTAGGCATCTAACTAAAATCTTTTAGACAAAGGAATCGGAGCTGGTAAAACTAACTCTCGGGTTTAAGCAGTCCTTCCTGCACCACTCTCCATGACTTGCTGTTGGTCACTGCTTTTCTTTACCTTGTGTTTTACTTCACGGAAAATGTATGCTTGTTTATTTCTTGAGTCACTTTTTGGTTTGCTATTTTGGATTGGATGTTGGATTGGAATACATTATAATGTAGTGTTTTTTTAGCTTTGTTCCTGATTGTGTGTGTGTGTGTGTGTTCAGGGAGTGACGTACTGCGGGGACAGCCCTGCCAGCACTCTGACCATGGCTAACGTTCCCTGGCACCAGGAAGTGGTCACCTTCGTCCAGGAGCTGGCTGACATGTTGCCTCAGTATGAGATCGCCTGTGAACACGAGCACTCCAACTGTTTGCTCATCGCACACACCAAGGTAGGAACTCTGTGACTACAACATCATACATCTGAAACATAGTGAGTCCTTACATTGTTGCTATTGCACCTACTTAAAACTGGAATCATTTCAAATAACAAGGAAAAAAATCCATAAAATATTACTTGACTTCAAGTTTATTCAATTGCAAGACTTTTCTTTTCCAGCACATCTTTTAGGTGCAAAACCTGTATTGGTCCCAACTGCTCAAATGTGAATATGTGTTGGTTTCCTAAAAACCTCTATGCTAGCAAGTACATATGTGCAATATTAGTATTACTCATTGGACATTTTTGAGACATAGTGATGTGCCTTTTTCACTAAGTTATCATATTCTGTAGATAAAATTATTAGGCAAAAATAATAAGAATTTCTTCAATAATGACAATGAATATTGGTTGCAGCCCTAGTATACATATAGGAGGCTTTATTCTACAAGTAATACACTTGCAGTAAATGATATCACTGATAACAAAGAGACAAACCAATAATAATACTCTGATCTAGATTGTGTGCTTTTTTCTTTGTTGCAGATAACTTGTGATATCATTTTTAAAACACTTGTGGCTAAATTATGAGGTGGTGAGTATTTGAGCTAGCGGTCTAATGACCCTACACGTGTTAAATTGAATCAGAAATCACAGCATAATTGATTAAAATATACACTTCACTTATAACGTAGACTGTACATATGAGGTTCAACAATCTGCTGAATGTGTACGATATTAGGTGCAGCTGAGTGGCTGCTGCTGTTTTTGCATATTTTCTAAGGGCGCATTCACACCAGCCTTGTATATTCCAGTTGAATCGAACCCTGGTGCGTTTAGCCACTTGGTGCGGTTCATTTGGGTCGGTGTGAACACAGTCCGAGACCTCTTAAGTGAACTAAACAACCGGACTCTGGTCCGCTAAAATAGGTGGTCTCGGAGCGCTTGCTAGTGAACTCTGGAGCGGTTCATTGCTGGTGTGAACGCAGTCTGCACCAAAACATAGGAAGCGTAGTATTTACGTGACACAAGAATGCGGATGTCTTCAAAATCGTCGTTAGCGAAAGAGTGAAGCAGAATGAAGTGTTGAATAGTGTCGTGTAAAGTAAAAACAACTATCAAACTAAAAACTATACATAAAAGTCAGAGCCACCTGCCGTCGGTGAAACCCCCTCCTAACTGCAAAACGTCTCATTATATGTGTTATAATGTTTTGTATCGCACCTTGTCTGATTATATAATCGCCGTTGCTGTAGATATGCTCTCCAGATTAACAATAGCATGAAAATAACCTGCCGATGCTCCATGGCGGAGGCTCCGGTAGAAATTGCCGGGATTTGCGTTTTTTATCCCCTTAATGTCTGACCAATGGTTGAACAGCATTTCCGTGCACATGACTTGTGTTTAAAGTTTATAGTCCGTTTGAGCTTTGCCCGTGTGAACGCAAACCGAACCTTCTGAAAAATGAAACTGGTGCATACCAGAGAAGCGGACTATCAGGTGTGAATGGACGGCAGATTTCGCAGAGTCTGTCCAGAGAGATCACCACGATTTTGAGTTCCTGTTGAAATTTGCTCTGTCACTTTGACTCCATCGTAGTTCTGCGGCAGGCAACCTTGGTGACTTGACACGGTCATGGCGGGCAGACGTGGTGTGTTGGCAGCGGCTCTCTTTTACGCACTACTAACACATTTTCTGGGAGCCAAACACTCACACGAACGGGACTGCTTAGCTTCTATAGAGCAAAGTCTAGATTTCCTCCAGTCTGCCTTCGATGTCATACAAACCCATTTATATCAACTAAAGTTGGTATTAAATGCTGAAAAATCCAAAGTGATGATATTTTCGAATGGCAAAAAGTTAACATCTATTCTACCCAAGATGTGTACTGCACAAGGGACTGACATTGAGAGGGTCACTACTTACACATATCTGGGATTTCTTATTGAACAGAACTTGTCTTTCAAGTTACACACGGAAAATGTTGTTTCAAAGCTAAAAATGAAATTAGGTTTCTTTTACCGGAATAAATCCTGTTTCTCTTTTCAGACAAGGAAACATTTGATATCTGCAACGTTTTTACCTGTATTAGATTATGGTGACCTGCTATACATGAATGCCTCTGACCAGTGCCTAAAGAGCTTGGATACTGTGTACCATTGTGCCTTACGATTTATCACTGGATGTGGATATCGAGTACACCATTGCACTTTATATGCTGCTGCTAATTGGCCATCTTTGTCTGCTCGCAGACTTTCCCATTGGTTGGTTTTATTTATAAATCTCTGCTTGGGTTGGTTCCCTCCTACATTTGCACATATATGTGTCAAAGAGAAAGTCTATATGGCCTGCGCTCCCCAGATTTTATTCAGATGCTGGTCCCTACAGTGAGAACAGAACTGGGTAAAACAGCTTTTAAATATGCTGCCCCCACAGCTTGGAACAATGTACAGAAGGAGCTGAAACTCTCAGATGTAATCACTATGGGGGAATTCAGGTCCATCTTAAAGGACAGAGAACACGACACCATTGGTAGATGTGAGTGCTCGTATATCCTAAAATCGTTTTAAATGTTGCCAGTTTTGAATGATTTTAATAGTTTGTTTTACTTTGCATATTGACTGGCTAATGTGCCATTTTATTTGTGTTTTACAGCTGTATTTGTCTGCCTGTCATGTCTGTGTTTTATCTGTTGTAACTTTGTACATGCTGCCCTTCTTGGCCAGGTCTCTCTTGGAAAAGAGATTTTAATCTCAATGAGTCTTTTACCTGGTTAAATAAAGGATACAGTATATATAAGACCAACACTATATCACACTGTGGTCTATGTGTCTATGTGTCTATACTGTCTATCTATGTGTCTGGGGAGGTCATTCAAACAGTTACACATTTTAAATATCTAGGCATTATCCTTGACACTACTCTATCCTTCAAAAAACAAGTGAGAAAGGTAATGCAAATAACTAAATACAATCTAGCAAACTTTAGATATATAAGGAACTGTTTGACAACACCTGTAGCAAAACTCTATATGACTGCCATGATCCTCCCCCACCTAACATACTGTATGACCAGCTGGACCCAGGCGAATAGCACAACATGAAGGCCTATCCTGTCACTTCACAAACAAGCTCTCAAAGTGTTGGACAGAAAACCTAAGCTATACCACCATTGCAAAATCCTGGACAAACATAACCTGCTCAGCTGGGGAAATATTTTAAAACACACTGATGCAGGTCTCATTTTAAAAATTCTAAACGGCAAGGCACCCCCACCACTCTGCACTTTTATACAGCAGAACCATTCAAACAGCAGAACCACAAGGTCTGCCCTAAGAGGGGACTGTAGTCCCTCTTAGGTCCAGTTCCTTTGGCAAACAGTGTTTCTCTGTGAGGGCACCAACACTCTGGAACACAACACCAATACAGATAAGGAATAACACCTCCTATCATACATTTAACCACAATCATAAGAACTGGCTTTTAAACAATCAGAAATGTGAACACTTTTAACTGTATCAAGGTATGATGATATTTCATCTGTTTGCATGTTTATTTGTTCCTCTCTATTGTTGTACTGCTATTTATTTATTGTTGTATTTATATATTGTATGTTTTATTTCTCTAGTCTTGTTGTGGTCATTTAACATCTTACCAAGGACAACAGTTGGAAATTAGCCTGCTGGCTAATACTGGCTCATTTACAGCAATGTGGATTAATGTGCACTGTCCTTTAAATAAACAAACAAACAAACAAACAAACAACAAATGTGACCTTAGTTGTTATTGCAGGGTTCCCGCAGGGTTCCCGCAGGGTTCCCGCAGGGTCTTAAAAAGTCTTACATTTGATAATCAGAATTTAAGGCCTTAAAAAGACTTAAATATGATCAAAAAGTTGCGATCGCGTCTAAATGTGTTTTGGGGGAAATGTCCGGGCTGCAAAGTAACCAGTACGGTAAGAGCCTTTCAGTTCCCCCCAACAATTTGTATTGTAATAAATCAACATGGAACCAGTAATCACTAACTTTGCATTCCCCTGGCCCCTTATCGGAGAACACTCTAGTAACCTAGCAACCAAGCTTCAGCTAGCGGCAGTCAGAAACTCAGGTATCTTCGAATCTACCTACAAAAAAATATGGGGAAGTGTAAGTTCAACCGTATATGGTTGGAAAACATCGAATTTAGTGCTTGGTTGAAACCAGTGAAGTTTGTCACTCAGAGGGGGGTGGGGGCTGGTGAACGGTATGGTCAATGTTTGTTTGTTTAAAAATGTTTGCAGTCGCGAAAGGTCTAAGCCAATCAGACATGGACAAAAAAAAGGTTCAGTCTATGTGTCGAGGGGGAACTAGATACCCCTTTACAGCCATGGTCCGGTCTGACAGCGATCAGCTGTCAGATGGGAGAGAGGAAGAGACGGAGACATAAATATGCAAACCCAAACCTACAGTTAACTTTACTGCTGGAGAAGAGGGATCGGGGGGGGCTGTGGCTGATGGGCCATTAGGTGTGTAAACAAAGAGAGTCACACACAGCTGATCACCTGAGAGCTGCCGTTTCATTCAGACTATTTTTTTTAAAAAGTGATTTTAACATTACACAACAATGAACTCAATGTGTGATTGTTATAGCTAGCCAACCAATCAGAACAGACTGGGCTCTGGTTTTCAGACAGAGGGTGAAAAGAGGAACTGCAGCACGTATGAGAAAAATAAAGATATTTTTGAACCTTAATAAGAAGGAAAATCATACTCTGTGAGAAATAGGATTACACTGAAATAACTGCCAGCATTCATCTATGCAGCTAGCTTCGTTAGAAATAATTATACAATCTGCATTCTGTAAAGTGTTTATTCTAAAATGCAATCTAGAAATTCACTTCTGGTTAAATGGACAAAATGACTTGCGAGCAAATGTATACACAAACCACATCCACATCACTATCATTACCTTCTCTGTGATGACACACACACTCACCAGAAGACAAAAGAGATGTTTCAAAAGCCAGTTATTGACT